GGGGGGGCGGCGGGGGCCGCCGCGGGGCTGGGGGGGGGCCGCTGGGGCTAACAAGCTGGGCAGTTAGGTTAGATGCTTAAACGGTATGCTGCGAAGCTCACTCGTCGTGGGTTGCGTATCTGGCCGGCCGTCCTCCCGCTCGCCAGGCCTGCCCTTTCCTGCCTTTCGTCTGTGCCACCACAGCCGGCGCCGCCAACTCCCGCTTGGTGTCCAAAACAAAATGGCTGCCAGGCCCACCAGTGCAGCGTGACCGGCTAAAATGGCGCCGACGGGCCTGCGTCATTGCGCGCGCAGCTAGGGGCGTGGCGAATGGGTGCTTTGGCCGGCGCAGGAATCGCAGGCAGAGAGAGCGACAGGGACTTGGGCGAAGAAGGCGCCTTCGGTTAGGTTTAGTGCTCCGCATTGGGGCGCGGTCAGTGGCCTTAATAAACTGCCTTCTGGACGAGTTTATGCCCCACTTTGAGAGGGCTTTCTGGTTTTCCAAGAGCGGCTTGGGTTTGATTGGAAACAATGTTTGTATCCTGTTATTCCCCCATCACTAAGCTAAAGACAACTCTTAACATGTTTTTATTAGGACCCCAGAGCCTGGGTGATTTGCTCTGCTCATCTCATCCCTATTTGCCGTGTGTGGGTTTTTGTTTGTTTGTTTGTTTCTTTGTTTTTGTTTTTTCGAGACAGGGTTTCTCAGTGTTGACCAGGCTGTCTTAGTACTCACACAGAGCCTCTGCCTCCTGAGTAATAGGATTTTTTTGGTTTTGTTTTTTGTTTTCCAAGATAGGGTTTCTCTGTAGCTTTGGAGCTTGTCCTAGAACTCGTTCTGTAGACCAGGCTGGAACTCACAGAGATCCACCTGTCTGCCTCCCCAATGCCACCACCGCCCGGCAATTTTTTTTTTTTTTTTTTTTTTTTAGACTTGTGGTTGCTACGTGTAGTTTTGGCTCTCCTGGAACTAGCTCTGTAAACAAGGCTGAGCTGGAATAAAGATCCTGGCTGTCCTGGAACTAGCTCTGTAAACAAGGCTGAGCTCAAACAAAGATCCTCCTACCTCTGCCTTTCAAGTGCTGGGATTATTGGTGTGCATCCACCACGCCCAGCTCTCCCATGCCTTTTTATGTGGGCTGCCACTAGAAGATGTGGCTAGAGTATTCCAATAAGCATATATGTCACAGGTGTTTCCAGCCCCTTGGGTTTTAGTTGATTCCAGATGTAGTCAGGTTGACAACTAGGATTAGCTGTTATACAGGATGTCTCACTATGGAGCCCTGGCTGGCCTTGAACTCTAGGAGATCCTTCTGCCTCTGCTGCTGCCTCTGCCTCTGTTATAGGGCTGGGATGAAAGGTGAACCTCACTATGCCTAGTTAGAACCGCGCCCCCCCTCCCCACACTATGCTGGGTGTTGAACCTATTGAGCTAAATCCCCCCACCCAGTTCCTGTGTTCAGAACTGTAAATGACTTTGATGTGTTTTCCTTTCTTTCATTTGTTTTTTGTTTTGTGTGCCCCTCCCCACTCCAGTAAGGATTTCTCTGTGTAGCCCTGGCTGTCTTGAAGTTCACTCTATGTACCAGGCTGGCCTTGAATTTACAGAGATCTGCCTGCCTCTGCCTCCTGAGTCCTGGGATTAAAAGAGTGTGCCACCACCCTTCTGACCATTCTTCAGTGTTTTGATGGCTTGTTTGTTTTTGTTTTTGGAGACAGAATCTGGCTATGTAGTATGGGCTGGCTTGGAACTCAAAATCACTTATACAAGTCCCCGAGAAGCCAGTGGCACTTCAATTTCAGTTAACTTTGGACACCTCCATTTTTGGGTCTTGAGTGTTCCTTAAATAAGATCTAATTACATAAACTCTCCAAGACAAGGAGTGTTGGGATTGAGCACCCCTTACTTCACACATATCCTGACCCAGAGGAGACAGACATTGACAGTTAGTGAGGGAAGACTTTATTAGAGTGAGTGACAGACCTGGGCCACCACTCTGGTACCCTTGGTAGGAGACTGAGCAAGGATGGGGACATGAGGTATAGGTGGGGTAAGGAGAAAGAAAGCAGGATAAAGGGGAAGTCTTATAAGGGCAAGTGGAAGGGCACTGCCAGTTAGCCCCAAGTGCTCAACTGTTCTCCCAGAAGAAGTTGTTACAAGCCACCGTGAGCGCAGCCACCAGCACGACATACTCCTGGAAGTCCACCTCCCCATCTCCATTTTCATCCAGTTCCTTCATTACCTTGTCCACAGCATCTGCATCCTTCTGGACCTGTGGAAGGAGGAGATGGAAATTTATCTCACTAAGTTAGAGCCTGCACAGTGGTTGAGGAGGCAGAAATGAGCAAGTGAGAGAATATTTATGGGAGTCTTCTATAGCACTACAGACTGTTGGGTGCAGAACCTAGCTGAGTTAATACTAATATCAGTTGTCATACATGATTGTCTACAATGTGACAAATGCTACACTAGGAACCTGACAGACTTTGTTTTAATAATAAACACACACATACACACACACAACCGGGAGGTGGTGGTGCACACCTTTAGTCCCAACGCTTGGGAGGTAGAGGCAGGCAGATGTCTCTCAGTTTGAGGCCAAGGCCAGCCTTGTCTACATAAAGAAACCCTGTCTCAACACCCCCCCCAAAAAAAAACAACAACAAAAAAACAAAACAAAAATCCCCAAAGCAAACACAAGATCACTTTAGGGCACAGTGGCAGATGTCTTTAATCCCAGCACTCAGTGGGCAAAGAAGCGGTGGATCAATTTGAGTTCAGGGTCAGCCTGGTCTAAAGAGCAAGTTCCATGCCAGCTGGGGCTACATAGTGAGATCCTGTCTCAAAAAAAACAACCCCAGTTTTTGCCACTTAACCCAGGCTGGCCTGGAACCTGAGGTCTTACTCGGTCTGCCTTGGTGCCAGTATTTTTTTTTTTTTTTATTTGTTTGTTTTGTGTGCTACCCAGCCTATCTTTAACACTGAAGCAAATAATGTGGAGGCATTTCCACTGCTTTGGTTACAGAGAAGAAACAAATTGAGAGTTGGGGTATAAACAAAAGTCACACAGCAACAAAATAGCAGGGCCACAGCTTCAGGGAAGCCTAGCAAAGCTGGAGGTTTGTATGTGGTGACTGTCAGCATCTGTCTACTGCTTCTCTGCATCCTCCAGTCAAAGGAAGCTACTTTGAGCATACTTTCCACCCTTCCTCCATGATTTTTTTCATGTGGACACCTCCTACAATGTCTTAATTTACCTACAAACTTCCAGTGGAAACCAATGGCTCAAGTGCCACCTCCGTAGAGAAGCCATGTGACTCCAGTGTACTAATCTCCACAATTCTAAGGCTCTGTATTTCTTTGAGTTCATAGTTTTTACTTTTTGGGGTTTTTCGAGACAGGGTTCCTCTGTGTAGCTCTGGCTGTCCTGGAACTCACTTTGTAGACCAGGCTAGTTTCAAACTCACAGAGATCCACCTGCCTCTGCCCCCCGCTTTTTTTTTTCCTGGATTTTCTTTTATTTTTTTCTTTCTTTTTCTTTCTTTTTTTTTTTTTTTTTTGGTTTTTTTTCAAACAGGGTTTCTCTGTGTAGCTTTGGATCCTATCCTGGACAGGGTTTCTCTGTGTAGCTTTGGAGCCTATCCTGGTACTCGCTCTGAAGACCAGGCTGGCCTTGAACTCCCAGAGATCCGCCTGCCTCTGCCTCCCGAGTGCTGGGACTAAAGGCGTGCCCCACTGAGAGCCCGCTCCTGGATTTTCTTTTATTAATTTACTTTTTACATTCTAATCCCAGTCCCTCTCCCTCCTTCCTTCCCACTCCCTACATTCCCCTCCTTCCATCTGCTCCACGGAGAGGGTAAGGCTACTAAGTTTGTTCCATCATCTAGTTGAGACAGGACCAACTGCCTCTGCCACTTGAATGCTGGGATTGAAGGCATACACTACCACTGCCTGGCCATGACTCCATTCTATGCTGTGGGTAGTGTTAGTGATAAATCTTCAGAGCCTAGTATTGACAGGTAGTCAGTAAACTGGGCCATTTTGACTTTCGAGGGAGGCATCAAGGAAGCCTGGAAAAACTTAGCTATGAGTAGCAGAGGGTCCAGGCCAGCTAGGGCTGTGACACAGAGGAACCCTGTGAACTGAAGAGGGAGATGGCTGGACTGAGCCCGGGGTGAGGGAGGGATAGATACAGCAGGGGCACCCATCCCCTTCCTCCACCCTGTACCTCAACCCTCTGCTCACATCCAGGAAGCCGGAGAGTTCGGTTTGTAGCAGGTCTTTCAGCTCCTTCTTGCTCAGCTTATATTTGTCCCCCTCCTTGCCAGAATGGGCATGGAACACGTTGATGAGGGTCTCCATGGCAGTCTCCAGCTCAGAGCCCATTTCAGCAGCACACCTACCCCCACAACGATGGAAGTAAGCTGTAAACCAGGTTTAGGATATCTGGGTCCTGGGTAAGGGAATCCTCAGATTTGACCCTGATTTCACAGCTCAAACAGCTACAAGATGCCCCCCCAACTTGTACTTTATCTTTCATTGAGATTTCGAAATGTGGGAGAAACCCTAGCACACCTAAATCCAATCCATCATTCTGGGTCTCTTCAGAGGGATGGGCAGGGAGACTGAGCAATAGGAACTGGGCTGTCTTAAGCCTGCAACAGACATTCAGTGGCTGGCTCCTGGCTGCCTGGGCAGAGACAGGGTGGGGTGGGGCAGGCATGGGTGGACACAGGACCAGGCAGCCTTCTAGCTCTATTTTTACCTTCCAGGCCTGTCACAGTCAAACTTTGCTCTTAGTAGTAAGTGAGCTGATGTCTCTACTGCCTACTCCAAGAAGAAGTCTGGTATCTTTGGTGAGCTGATGGGGGTAGGCAGTCTGAGTGGGAGACCCAAGAGTTGTTGGGGAGGGACGTCTCACTGTTTTGGCTCTTCCTGTCAGCAGCATGGGTCTTCCTCTTTAGGCATTGAGGATCAAGCCCAGGCCAATTGGCTCTATCTCCATCTTTTTGTGCTTGGGGATTTATTTATTTATAGCAGGGTCACATTCTATAGCCTATGCTGTCCTGGAACTAGCTCAGGCTGGCCCTCAACTTGTGGGTAATCCTGTCTCCATGTGCTGGGATTACTGGTCTGAGCTACCATGCCTAGCTCCCCTCTCTCCTCAGTATGTCATTTTGGCTTCTCTGGGGTATACTTCCCATTACCTCCTATTCTACTCATCTCTTCTGCAAAACTACCCGTGTTCATCAGGTAGGAAGAAGGAAGGGAGAGGGAAATGTCTGAGGTTTTTCCTTGGAGACAGCTTCTAACGAGGGAGCTAACCTGAAGGCATTGTCCCTGATGCTGTCCATTCCTGCCTCAGGCCAGCTCTGTTTGTGTAGCTACAGTGGGAGCAGAATAGGGCTGGTTTGGGTTAAATAAAGGACTGAGTGCATTGGGTCATTTGAGCTCAAGGGGCTGGGCAAGTGCAGAAGAATGGGGTGGTCTATTGAGAAGGGACTGCATGCAAGGGGGCCTCCGTCCTGTGGCTCCAGGAGGGTCATGCTTTCCATAGTCTCAGGGGCAGCAGCTCAGGTGTCTCAGCTCAGGTGTCCTCATCCTTCCTCACCACTGGGTATACTGGACAATAGGTCCTGATTAGATGACATCCCAGCGCTTCAATGGAGCCCTTGTGACTGTCACCTGAACTCCAGTCACAAGAAGCAGTTGTCACAGAGACAGGGGGAGATAGAACCCAAGCCCTGCTGATGAAAGGGATAAGAGGGTACTCAAGGGAGGAATTTGGATGGCTCAGTTACCATCCTCATCTATGAGGGGCACCTGGAGGTTTGCCTGGAGCCCTCCAGCAGCTTGGAATTTTATGAAGGGGAGGCCCTAGGGGTGCAAAAGTGGAAAAACAAAGAGGAAAAAAATTGGGGAGAGAGAAGCAGGGGTCAGGACTGGAAAAAGGGATAAGGAGGAGTTCTTGAGAAGGCAGAGATGGGACAGGGCACAGTGCCACAGACCCCCTGCTCCTAGACTAACCTGGGATCTGGTTCTTGGCAAGGCTGGTTAGGGGTAGCAGGGACAAGGCTGGAGAGGGGGGCAGGAGCAGCCTTCTAGTTCTTACGCTAAAGGAGCAGGGCTGCCTCTCCTCCCTCTGGACACCTAGAGACTGGGGTACCTGTCAGGAGACACAGGGTTCTGTGTAGGAAGGTCTGGTGACTTGGAAGCTGGGTGGCATCCTTATTCTCCAAGTTCCTAGCTCTCCGACCTTCACTTCACCTCCTCTCACTACTTTGCAAACTTTATCTCCCCTAGATCCCAAACTTCCCTTGACTGATTCCTTCCAGTCCCTCGCCAGACCCTCGCGGCACACTGTATCCTTTTCCAGGGCTCTTGGGGTCTTTTTGAGAACCCCTTTCCTCCAGGCTGGCTAAGCCAGGGATCTATGCTAGTCAGGGTAGGATACTCACGGTTGGCCTGGGCCTGAAGTGGGAGAAGGTTCTCGACAGACAGACAGGCAAGCTGCAAATGTGGCACCTGGAGCGGTGTGGGGAGACCTGTCTTTAGCTGTCCTTCCCGGCCGACCCTCCTCCCCACCGGCTCCACCCCTTCACAAATGACACCGCGAAGGGCAAGGGGCCAGAAGTGGACAGAGGCGCCCTCTGTCTCCCAGGCGAGAACGGGCTGCCCTATGTTTCTTTCCGTTCTTGGTTGCACCCACTCCCCGAGCCCAGCAGGAAGGAGGTGGAAGAGAAGTCCTGGGAAGGATGCCGTGGTGCGGGCTGAGCAGGGGAAGGGGAGAATTCTGACGAGGGGTGCTTAGCTTGTGCGCCTGCCTCCGAGAGGGGTTTCTGTCTCGGAACTCAGCGAAGAATTTTAATTGGGGTTCTATTATAGGAGCCTCAGCCTGGGGCTTTCCGAGTGCCCTTGGACTGAAGGATCTTTTGCAGGGTCTCTGGTTTCTCAGACGGGGCTTTCCAGCGCTGAATTTCCCAAGTGTTTTTATTTTATTTTTTTCCAAATAGTAGTAGCAGCCCCCCCCGACTCCTGATTAGCCCCCATAATTGGGAGGAATGGCACCCTAAGGTCCCTCCTGAGCAGGCTCTGTCTTGGACGTGTGGCGCAGCGTTGGGATGGCTAGTGACAGCAGGGGCGGTCCCCTCTTTTCCGAATCAGCGGAGGCGGAAACTTGACACTTCGGACTTGGGAGTGGCTCTCTCCCGTCCCTGGTGCTTAAAAACTTCAGCCTTGAGGCTCTAGCTCGGCTTGCTTGCGCATCTCATCCCAACTCCTTTCCTGGGTGAGTTACTCTCTCCCTGACTCTGCAGAGAGCCTGGAGACCTTCTTTTCTTTATCAGCTCCCAGGTTCCTCCTTCCAAGCGGATTCAGGCAGAGATTCAGGAAGTGGCTTTAGGAAAGCAGGCAAAGATCCTTGCGGGAGTATGTGGGTGGGTGGACAGAAATGAGGGGGATGAGTAGGCATGTTTCTTCCCTTCCTGGAGCCCTGATGGCACTGGGTGTCCATGCCAAACGCCTTGTGGGCTGTGGGCTTGAGGAGTTTGAAGAGTCCCTTTCTGGACCTTGTCAACCATGGACAGGAGTGGGGAAGGTCGGTGGGGTCTGGTGCTGAGCACCCTGAGACCCCCTTAGAAGAGGTAGAGATTGGGGCAGAGAAGATGGGTCTGGCCCGATTGAGCCAGACCTGAGTTCAGTTGGTTCTTCGCCAACCTTAGGCTTCTCTACGAGGAGAGACTCTGGTCTCAACATAAATAAGCATTGGAGACAAACGACTTCCTGACCCTAAGACAGGGAGTGACAGCAAGAAAGAGCCATTAGAACAGAGACCCCACCCTGGATGTTACCACACTCAGAAGACTCTAAAGAAAAACCCTCGAAGGTAGAGTGGTTGCCACATGGAGAGACCAATGCAGAGGCATTCCCTAAGACAGACACTTACCCTCGAAGGTAGAGTGGTTGCCACATGGAGAGACCAATGCAGAGGCATTCCCTAAGACAGACACTTAAGAAGGACACACAGACATAAGAGTCAAGAGAAAAATAATTTCTGAAAGTGAACCTCAACTGAAGTAGTTGTCCATTCTGGACCCTTTCATCTTTCCCACACGGACCCTTTTTAGGCAGCCACCTTACCTATATTGGGATCCCTAACTCTCTTGGTCTCTTTCTGCTCCATGAGGTCAGTCTGTGAGGACATCAGCTCCTACTTTGTGGTACTAATGGCAGCGGAGCCGCTGACGGAACTGGAGGCAGCCATTGAGACTGTGGTCACCACTTTCTTCACATTTGCAGGGCGGGAAGGACGAAAAGGTAGCCTGAGCATCAATGAGTTTAAGGAACTGGTCACCGAGCAGTTGCCTCATTTGCTAAAGGTTGGTAGAGGTCTCTGGGACAGAGACTGTCTATGTATACCAGGTGATGACACCGAATAGATAATGTGGCAGAAAAAAAATGTGAGTGACTGAGTGTGTAGGTGGTTCTGTATTTCCCTTGTGTGTAAAAACTAGATGAGCAAAGATGCTGTGTTGTTGAAAATGGGAATGTGTTATTGGGCTCTGTTCTCCTGTCAAACAATATTGTTGAGTACCTGAGTTGGCCTGTGTCTCTCTAGTCTCATTTTCTCAACATACTACTGGACCCAGAGGTGCATTCCCAGAGATTTACAGATGGTAAGAACTAGAAGGAGGCTTAACAAAAATAAAACTACACCAGGAATGGTGCTGTCTGCCTGTATGTGTGTAATCCCAGCACTCAGGAGGCTGAGGCAGAAGGATCAGGAATTTGAAACCAGTTTAGGGAGACCCTTTCTCAACAAATGCCACATAAAGTCATAGTAAGCCATATTCTCAGTGTACCCAGGTCTATGAAGAGCATCTGTGATTACTTCCCATTACCTGTGTGAATCTCATCAATACAGGGGCTCATTCTACAGATGTGATTGGGGGGTTCTAACTTATTGACTCTAAGTTTGTGTGCTATTTTAGTCTTTTAACAGTTTATTTTAATCCTTTATGAAAATTAACAGCCACATAAGAATGTGTGAATATGGCGTTAGTCCCAGCTCATGCCTTTAGTCCCAGCACTTGTGAGGAAGAGGTAGTCGGATCTCTGAGTTTGAGACCAGCCTGGTCTACAGAACAAGTTCTAGAACAGCCAGGGCTACACAGAGAAACCCTGTCTCAAACAAAACAAAACAAAACAAAACAAAAACAAAAAAACAGCAACAAAAAAGAGTGTGTGAATATGGATTTTTTTTTTTTTTTTTTTGAGATAGGGTCTCACTGTGTAGTCTTGGCTGACCTGGAACTTGCTATGTAGTCCAGGCGGGCCTAGCCTGCCTCAGTTTTTCAAGTTCTGGGATTGTGCTACTATGCCCAGCTCTTGGATTATTATTATCATTATTTTTTAGACAGTCTCATGTAACTAAGGTTGTCCTCAAAGCTCTGATTCTTCTGCCTCTACTTCACAAGTGCTGGAATTATAGGTGTGTCCCACCAGTCCCAACTTGAATATGAACTGACATTTTTCCCATTTTCACCTTATATGTATGCGTGTTTTGTCTGCATGTGTGTCTGTGTGCATCATTTGTGTGCTTGGTGCCCACAGAAACCAGAAGAGGGCATCACCAGGTCGTCTGAAAATGGAGTTACAGGTGGTCGTGAACTGCCATGTGGGTTCTGGGAACTGAAATAGAGGCCTGCTGGGCATAGTGGCACACACCTTTAATCCTGGCACTCAGAGGCAGGCAGATCTCTGAGTTCAAGGCCAGTCTGGTCTATAGCACAAGTTCCACAAATGACTGGGATATGCAAAGAAACACCAACCAAAACAAAACAAAATCAATTCCTTATATCTGTCTTCTAAAGATCTATCATGTTACACCTCCGTTTTCTGTTCAACAGTTCATATTTCAATAGCCATCACAGTGCTTGATTCAACTGTATGCGCTTCGTTAGCCAAAAATGTGCTAACTGTCCAGCTCCTGGAGGCTTTCAAAACTTCTTCAAGCCTCCCTTTGTCTGATCATCATCTGTTATTCCACTTCTTGTTTTTGTGTTATTTTTTAAAAGATTTATTATTTTGTGTGCACATGCAGCACATTCATTCTGGTGCCTGCAGAGGTCAGAAAAGGGCATCAGATCCCCTGGGACTGGAGTTACAGTGAGTGGTAGGATTAAAGGAATACACCACCATTTGAAGCCACACATTTGTGTGGTTTTGTTTTTTTGTTTTGTTTTGTTTTTTTCTTTTTGGTTTTTCGAGACAGGGTTTCTTTGTGTAGCCCTGGCTGTCTTAGAGCTTGCTCTGTAGACCAGGCTGGCCTTGAACTCACAGAGATCGGCCTGTTTCTGCCTCCTGAGTGCTGGCATTAAAGGTGTGCACCACCGTCACCAGGAGACTGCTCCGTTTTCATTTTCACCCATCAGCTTCATCTCCTCATGGCTCTTCTTGTCTAGTTCATGTTCTAAGAGGCATCATTATAACCATGCTTGCAAACCCCTTGATTCTGTCTCTCTATTGTCAGTCAGGACCCCCACAGACCTACATTTCTGCCTAAATCCACCACCTGTGTCTGCACTTGGAGAGCTAATCTACCTAGAGGCACTGGTAGTTGACTAGTTGACTAGTCTCACAAACTCCAGAGGAACCCTTGGCAATGCTAAGCAAGTCTGTATTTCCCTTTGAATAGTTGGGACACAACTTTCCCTTCCTCAGATTCCAGTACCTCTTTCCACATTCTCCTTGTCACTGAGACATTAATTCACTTCAAAAATAAGCAATCAAGAGGGTTTTATGTGCTTCCCTATCCGCAGATCTCCTGGGTCAGCATCCACCACGCCTTCCTTCCGTGCCTCAGATGATCTGTCTATGCCTCCAAGGCAGCTCTCTGCTGGTGTTCTGGATTCCATTCCCTCTCACCTACTTAGAACTCTTGCTCCTGCAGCGATTCCCCTTTCCCTCTGCAAGTCACATTTTCTTTTTCTGGATCACTTATATTAGTTTACAATGTGCTGGAATTCATAACAAGATCAGCTTAAAGCTCGATTACGTGGCCCTTTCTCTTCTTTTCACTTCCCAGTTCAAAATGCTTTTATCTCTTAAGAGATAAAATAAAACAAAATCCTGTCAGATCCACAGTAGGCTCAACACTCAAGCCTTAGTGAAATCTTCTTGGCAGTTTTAACCTTTTTGAGGGAAGTAAGCTTACTCTGCCCACTGTAGTCTGTCATAGGGCCACTTTCCCCGGGCACACAGAGAATCCTTGCTCTTCTGTATTGTGTCACTTTGTGATATATAATGAGTCTTTTTCTGTCTTGGCAGCCAGCTCCCAAATAATGACATGGAGGCTTCTTAATTATAAAAGTCTGTCCATTAGCTTAGGCTGGTCCCACTAGCTTTTATAACTTAAATAAACCCATATATATTAATCTATGTTCTGCTACTTGGCATTACCTGTTTTCCATTTTGTACCTCCTGTCTCCTCTTCATGTCTGGCTTCTCTTAGACAATCCTGGTCAGCTAGTCACTGGCTCTGCCCCCTGATTCAAGGTATAACTTTATTGGGAAGTCTTGGGAGTGTCAGAGGGCAATCAAAATATCCCACAATAGTAGGGTTCATGCTTGCCAGATTTCTTGCAGAAAGTCAGGCAAGTCTTAGAAAGTTCAAGATGTTCTTGGGAGTGCCATCGACACAGAAATCTTTTGCTTATTTATTTATTTATTTATTTTGATACAGGGTTTCTCTATATTGCTTTGGAGCCTGTCCTAGAACTTGCTCTGTAGACCAGGCTGGCCTCGAACTCACAGAGATCCTCCTGCCTCTGCCTCTCTAGTGATGGGATTAAAGGTGTGGGCCACCAGTGCCCAGCCTTATTTTTAATAGTTATTTTTTTATTTGATGTGGATGTGTGTTTTGCCTGCGTGCATATCTGTGTACCATGTGTGTACAGTGTTGGTGGGGGCTGGAAGAGGGCATCAGACCCCCTGGAACTAGAGTTACAGACTGTTGTTAGCAGTCACGTGGGTGCGAAGGATCAAACCCAGATCCCCTGGAAGAGCAGCCCATGCTCTTAACCACCAAGCCATCTCTTCAGCCCTGTTGTTTTCTTTATTTTATTTTTTTTTTGAGACAGAATCCCTCTGTATATCCCAGGCTGGTCTTGAACTTGAGATCCTTCTGCTTCTTCCTCCCAAGTGTTAAAGGTGGACACCACCACACCTATATCTCTTCTTCCCTTCTCCACCCCCACCCAAACAGGGCTTCTCAGTATAGCCCTGCCTATCCTGGAACTCACTCTGTAGACCAAGCTGGCCTTGAACTCAGAGATCCACCTGCCTCCCAAGTACCGAGATTAAAGGCCTGTGTCACCCCTTCTAGCTTCTTTTTCTCGTTCCTTTTCTTTTTTTCCTTTTTATTTTTGATACAGGGTCTCTCTATGTAACCCTAGCTGTCTTGGAACATTTCACCAGCCCCCTTAAAAAAATGTTGAGACACATTTCTTTTTTTCTTACTGTGTATTCTCAAACCGATTTCACCTCACACTCTTTTTTTTTTTCTTTTTTTCTTGGTTTTCTGAGGCAGGGTTTCTCTGTAGCTTTGGAGCCTATCCTGGCACTTGCTCTGGAGACCAGGCTGGCCTCAAACTCACAGAGATCCGCCTGCCTCTGCCTCCCGAGTGCTGGGATTAAAGGCGTGCGCCACAACGCCCGGCTCACCTCACACTCTTAAAACAGGCTGATATCAGACTCCCAGCAATCTTCTTGCCTCGGCTTCCTAAATGCTGGGATTATAAGAGCACTACAACCTATTTGGATTTACTTAAACTCTTTTCTCTTTAATCCCTGAGACAGGGTTTCTCTATGTCTGTGTAGCCCTGCCTGTCCGGAAATTTGATCTGTAAAACAGGTTGGCTTCAAACTCACAGAGATCCACCTGCTTCTGCCTCCCCACTGCTAGGATTAAAGGTGTGAGCCACCACTGGCTGGCTTAAATTCTTATTTTTCAGAATTTTGCTGGTGAGTCTCACAGGTTTATTTTTTAAGAAGAAGTTTCAAGGCATTTTATTAATTTATTTGATTCTAATTATGTAGCTTTGGCTGATCTGGAACTCACTATACCAAGCTGGCCTTGAATTTACAGTGGTCCTCTTGTCTGGCTCTCCCACCTGATGGGGATTACAGGCATTTGACACTATACCCAGCTCATACTATTTCTTTTTTTTATGTTAAAAAGAGTCCAATAACAGGAGGTGCTGTGTCTGCCTCCTGAGTGCTAGGATTGCAGCCTGTGCTGTCACACCTGGTTTATGTGGTGCTGTGGACAGAACCCAGGGCTTTGTGCATGCTAGGCCAACACTCTGCCAACTGGGCTGTCTTCCCAGGCTGCAGGTGGGCTTTTCTTTCCCGCCATCTGGTTCCCAAATAACCACACGGAGACTTATTAATTGTAAATGTTTGGCCAATAGCTAGACTTGTTACTATTACAATTTAAATTAACCTATTTCCATTAATCTATGTGCTGTCCTGAGGCTTGTTTACCTCATGTATGTATTTCCCTTCCTGCTTGCTCATGGCATCTCCTTAGCCTCTGCCCTCCTTCCCAGCGTCCTCCTAGTCTGGCTGTCCTGCCCAGCAATAAGGTCAGTCAGCTCTTTTATTAACCCATGAGAATAATACATATTTACAGTGTACAAAGATTGTCCCACAGCAGCCCCATGAAGTTTTTAGAGTCCCAGAACAGAGGAAAGTACTAATTCAAGGCATTTATTGATTATATTTGTGAGGTTATCAGGCCAGGCAGATTTTACAGCAAAGCAAAGCTGGGAGGTCACTGCTATAGATATTTTTTTGTTTTTGTTTTTTGAGGCAGGGCTTCACTGTAGCTTTGGAGCCTGTCCTGGAGCTTGCTCTGTAGATCAGGCTGCTGCTATAAGCTATCTGATGACATGCTTAGCTTTACGTTGGTGAAAGCTAGCAGCAAGTTAATACTTTCCAAAGGTTTTACCTGAGGTTAAATGGGATACAGAAGGTGAGTGCTAAGTGGCTAAAAGACTAAGGGGCTAAAAATAGCCCAAAATGATCTTAGCCCTGTATCTGCAACATTCCAACTCTTTGAAATCACAGCATTCTAATCTGTTAGCCCTGTACACTCCCACGTGGGATAAAGAGCTAGAATTCAAGGCTAGCTTGGGCTATACAGTGAGAATTTGTCTCAAAACAAACCAAAAACAGGTAGAACCCAAATTAACTTTCTATGCTTAGTGTGAAGAGGGAGAAATTTGGCTTTTATTTTCCAATTCCTTAATTCAGTTTTCTTAGAGGAGGCCTAATTGTGACATTTATGCATACGTGCTACTTCACTTAAAAAATATTAAATAGGATTTCTCTTTATATTTTCTTTCTTTCTTCCTTCCTTCTTTTCTTCTTCCTTCCTTCCTTCCTTCCTTCCTTCCTTCCTTCCTTCCTTCCTCCTCCTCCTCTTCCTCCTGTTTTGTTTTTTGAGACAGGGCTTCTCTGTGTAGCCCTGGCTGTCCTGGAACTCTCTCTGCAGACCAAGCTGGCCTTGAACTCAGAGAGATCCACCTGCCTCTGCCTCTCAAGTGCTAGAGATTTGTTTGGCAGATCTTTGCCTTTGTCTAGATGTTTACCCAAATGTTAAACATGGAGGCTGGAGAGATTGCTCAGTGGTTAGGTAAACTGCACTTGCAAAGGACTGAGACTCAGTTCCCAGCACCCACATGGCAGCTCAGATCCATCTGTAACTTCTGTTCAGAGAGTAGCCTTGGTTGGTTTGAAAGAAAATGGCCCCCAAAGGGAATGGTGTAAGGATTTGAATCTCTTTATTCAAGAAGACACCAGGGCAAAACACAGGCCAGAGCTAGGTTATAGAACCCAGCAAGCACGGCCAGAACAAAAGGGGCCAAGGTCCCCACGTGCAGCTCCTTAAGAAGCTCCCTTACGTCACCCCGGCTTTCCTTCACCACGCCCTTATGGGCGAGTCCCGGGTCCACCTGGTACCTGTCCCAGGACTATTGGGCAGGGCTAGGGTGTCTCCCTACAGAATGGCACTATTAGGAGGTGTGGCCTTGTTAGAGTAGGAATGGTCTTGTTGGAGGAAGTGTTTCACTGCAGAGGCAGGCTTTGAGGGTTCATATATGCTCAAGTCATGCCCAGGGAGACAGTCCACTTCCTGTTGCCTTCTGATCATGATATAGCCAGCACCATGTCTGTCTGTATGCCACCATGTTTCCTGCCATGATGATAATGGAATAAACTTCTGAACTGTAAGCCACCACCTCAATTAAATGTTTTCCTTTATAAGAAATTGCCGAGGTCATGGTGTCCCCCTCCCCCCTTTTGGTTTTTCTAGGCAGGGTTTCTCTGTGGCTTTGGAGGCTGCCCTGGAAATACCTGTTGTAGATCAGGCTGGTCTCGAACTCACAGAGATCCACCTGCCACTGCCTCCCAAGTGCTGGAATTAAAGGCATGGGCCACCTACGCCCAGCCATAGTGTCTCTTAACAGCAATAGAGATCCTTTTGTGATCTTTTTGTGATCTTTTTGTGATCTCTGTGGGCACCAGGCATGCATGTGATACATATGCATATCACATGTTGGCAAAATACACATAAAATAAAATGAATGAATCTAACCCCCTCCCAAGAAACCCCTCAATGTTGAGAATCAAGCTCCATGTGAGACATTCTTCAATCTGACACCCACCAGTGATTCAACAATGACACTTATGGTTGAAATTGTTTATCTGGCAACAAATCCTTTCATCAGGGCTTACAGAATCCATTGGTTTTATAGCCATGAGATACTTTGTCAAGAGCACCCTAGAAAACACCCTCAGTGTTTTTGCTATTCCTCTGACCTACTCGGTGGTGACTAAGTTGAGATGTTAGGATGATGCAAATGAGCAGTATTGGCAGTAATGCAAGGAAGAAGACAGCTTATGCTCAGCCACAGGGTCTGCTGGTGTCCCTTGGATGTGGGACCTCAGGCAGTGCAGTCCTGGGTCTACAGCCTCATCCTTGGGCAGGCATCGATGTCTGAGAGAAGCACCTGATGGTTCTTCCCACTCTCTCTGCCTCAAGAGCCCTAGTTTCTAACCCTTTTATGTCTTTGTAGGACGTGGGCTCTCTTGACGAGAAGATGAAGAGCTTGGATGTGAACCAGGACTCGGAGCTGAAGTTCAATGAGTACTGGAGACTGATTGGGGAACTGGCGAAGGAAATCAGGAAGGAGAAAGCCTTGGAAATCCGGAAGAAGTAAAGCCTGCTTGCTGGGATGGGGGCCCAGCACGGCCTGCTGGGCAGGGCCAGGCAGAACTCCACTCCCCCAAATAAAAACTTCCTTCTTGAAACACAGATTTCTATCTGAATTTCTTTTCTTGAGACCAGGGAAAGGGTCTTTATCTGCGGTGAAAAAAATGAAAATTGTAGGCACTTTGAAGGCAAGGACTGTGATTCATCTTCAAATATCCTACAACATCTAGCATTCTACCTACAATGAGGTTTTTTTTTTTTTTGTCCCTCTGGTGTTGAGGACAGAACTCAGGCCCTTGAGCAAATGTGTCATAGCAATAGGTCTTGCGTTAAGTAGGTGCTTAGTTGATCAGTGAAAAATACGGATATTTGAGGCAGGCCGTTCCTGGGGCTCAGCTCCATGGCTCTAGCTCCCAGTTTCCCCCATATAACTCCTGGAGTTTGTTCTTTGGCTGGTAATGATAATAATGAACGCCTGCTAAACATTTTACTCATATACCTCTAATTAACTGTCACAGCAGTTAAGGTTAATTCATTCAATTAGTTTTTGCAGTGTTGAAGATTAACCTAAGATCTTGCACATGTTAGGCAATTGGAAGGAGTCACACCCCCAGCCCTCTTTTAGCTTTTTTCTTTCTTTTTGTGTTGTGCTGTTACTGTTTTAATAATTTGTTTATTTTTATTTTATGTGCATTGGTGTTTTGCCTGCATTTATGTTTGTGTGAGGGTGTCAGATCTTAGAGTTATAGACAATTGTGAACTGTGGGTCCTCTGGAAGAGCAGCCAGTGCTCCTAACTGCTGAGCCATCTCTCCAGTCCCCTTGTTATTGTTTGAAGATAGAGTCTTGCTATCTTCAGCAATCTTCCTTCCCCAGCTTCACAGGTAACAGGCGCACTATCACTCCTGGCTTTGAGGAAACATTTTTAGGGAGGTTAGGTTACAAAGGCAAGAATTGCTAGAATTGGCCTGGAGAAGTGCTGCTCGAATATGACAGGGAGAGGGGGCTGTGGAAATATGGGGAGTTTAGGGACAGAGTTGTCTCCACCCTGCATTCTCTGACTTGAGGGGCAAGTGGTTTGTGTAACTCACCACTAGAGAGAGTAGGGGTGTGGCAATGATGTAAGCCTCTTGGGCTGTCACTGCTGTAACTGTGGGTGTCCACTTGGGGCAGCTAGTCAACCAGAGGAAAATTAGCAGAGACAAATTCCCCATCTCAGGCTAGGAAAGAGGCCCCAGAGGGACCTCAGAGCTCTGGGCTCTCTGAGGGGAAGTTGGCAGAGGCATTTGAGAGGCTTCCAGACTCCTCATTGGAAACTCAGGCTAAGGGACTCTGAGAAGCCCTCTGATGGCAAGACCCTTGTAGGGTCTCCAAACGGAAGCCCTTCAGATGAGTTCTCCAAATGAGACTGTTGTGGAAGAATCCCCAGTTGAAACCAGAAGAACAGGGCACCTCTAATGGGTGACACAAGGAAGACTGTTTGGATAGATGCTCTGATTTCATAGTTAGGAAGGGGATTTTGACTCCAGGCCCATGCCATCCTTCTACTGACCTTCCTCCATGGTCTGTCCTTGTCCATGAGTTTAGGTCCTAGCTCCTGGGCAGGTGAGGAGGGTTAGTTGGGTTGGCCACAGTCCCAGGAAGTACAATTTAGGGTCCCCCTCACCAACCCCCGGGGTTCCTGGGTAGTAGATTGGAGGGCTGGTGTTGATATGCTATTCAGGGAAGGGGTAGGATTTGGAGGGAGGGAGGAGGTGGCAGCCCAACCAGTTTGGAGAGGTTGTTACTTGTCAGGCAACTTCTTTGAGCCTTGCACACGGGTGCCCTGGGTTGCTGCAAGGAGCTGGCAGGGTATCAGGGAAGGCTCAGTGTGCTCCCAGCGTCAGGGTGCACGGCTCTGACCCTTTCTTTCTACCTTTTCATCTCCGTGCTGTCAGGACTTGGAAAGTCTTGGCTCTGGGTTTCAGCAGGCCTGAGCGTTACTAGCCAAATTAACTCTGGTTAGGAGGGAGAGGAGAGAAGAGAGTCAAGGCACAGAGACCTGGGACCTCTTTCAAGCCCCTCATCCCACAAACCCACCTTGATCAGCCCTTGCTTCTCCTTTCCATGCAGACTCCCTCTGCTTCCCTGCCCCATAGCCACTTCAGGTTCCTACTCTCCCACGTAAGGTTCCTTCTGCACCCCCTTGCCTTCCTTCTCTTCTCTCCCTGTGACCCTGGGAGGTGATCTTCCCAGGTGATCTTGTGCCAGGGGTATCCCATATCCAGCCCTCCATGGCTTCCTCCTCATGGTCGGGGTGGGGACTGACTCTAGAACTGTAGAGGGTGGGGCTCACAAAGCTGGCTCCCAGCCCAGGAGGCTGCAATAGCTGGGGTGGCTGAGGGATAAGGCCCTGGCCCTGCCCCTGGCTTCCCCTCCCTTCCCCCAGGTATAAGAGCTGAGCTCAGGTGAGCTGGCTCCTCCATCTCGTCTCTGCAGCCGCCAGCAGGTAAGAAAGTCCATCGTCTGCCACCTAGATGGGAGTACCCTATGCCTCTCTTGCCCAGGTCTCACAGGGGTGGCTGGAGGAGGCAGGAAGAATGAAGCTGAGGTGGGGCCCAGGGGGATTCCCTCTGAGTGGGTTGGCCTAGGAGCTGTGACTTTAGCTCCTGGAGTTTGGGCAGGAACGGGATCTGTGTGAAGTAGACTCCAACTGCTTAGGTGAAGGTATATGTTGGGTACAGCCAAAAGAGGCCATGAAAAAAAGAATGACGAGTTCTCCCCTCACCTAAGGCCTCCCCTTCCTCTAGGCAGATCATGAGCCATCAGCTCCTGTGGGGCAGGCTATAGGACAGACGACAAAACTAACTCACGGAAGGACCAGTGTACCAGGCACCATGGGACAGTGTCGGTCAGCCAATGCCGAGGTGGGCCCATTCATCTGGCTGGTCTTTCTGTTCTTACACTCTTCTCTTCTTGGTATGAGGGTTCATGCCCCCCATGACTTCAGCTTCTTTCCTAGGCCTTGCCCTGTAGTTACTGCCAGAAAGCCCCCAATCCCCTCCCTTATGCCTACACGGAGTGATGAAAATGGAGTTCTTCTGGAAATAGGATGTTTGGGCACATGCTGGGGCCTGCCCTGCCTGGGATTTGGGGTGGTGAGACTTACCTAATCTGTGGCTTAGGGCAGAGGCCACTGTGGCCTGGAGGCTGGGCTGAGGTAAAGGGAGTGGGGCAGGATTCTGGGCTCTAGAGTGTCTTCTAGCTGCTTTCTATCCTGTTGATTTTCCAAGGCTCCTGAGAAGGGTTTTGTAGGTGTATGGACACTCATGACGTGGGTTGTGTCTGCTATCTTCAGGATGCCCAAGAATTCAGTGATGTAGAGAGGGCCATTGAGACCCTCATCAAGAACTTCCATCAGTACTCTGTGGAGGGTGGAAAGGAAACACTGACCCCCGCTGAACTACGAGACCTGGTTACCCAGCAGCTGCCACACCTCATGCCGGTACTGAGGGAGTGGATCCCACCCCGTCCAGACCCTTGACTTCCCAAGCTAGCGCTCCAGAGTTCACTGGAGCTGGCGCTGGTAACCCCTGCCTTTCCCTCTTGCCAACTCTGCGTAGGCTCCTGTCCTCCTACTCGCCCCAGGCCAGGGTGGGGCAGGAAGATCTAGAGGTACTGTCTTGCTGAGTTGTGGTGTCTTTCCTGTCCTCAGAGCAACTGTGGGCTAGAAGAGAAAATTGCCAACCTGGGCAACTGTAATGACTCGAAACTGGAGTTTGGAAGCTTTTGGGAGCTGATTGGAGAGGCAGCAAGGAGTGTGAAGATGGAGAGCCCTATTGCTCGGAGCTGAGGACCTCTTCTTGGAACTTGTTGGGGGTTTTGGGGGCAGGGGATTTCCAGGGGCCTGGAAATAAAACTCTCTATTCCCCCCCACCCCATTCCCCAGCCTGCACCTCTCCTCATCTCTGTAAGGTCCAGGCTCAGGACAGTCTTCCCTGTGGGCTCTGGGCACTTATCTGGAATGCTCTGTGGAGCTCCTGGGTCCAGAAGTCCTCATCCCAGGGGAGCTCAGGGGGTGGGTTGGGGCTGGAGAAGATATGCAGGGATCCTGGTGGGGTAAGGGCTAAGCCCTTGGTAGTAGGGGAAGGGCAGAAAGGAACTGGGCTATGGGAAGTGATCTGAAGAGTGGGGCTGGGAAGCTGGCTGGATACTTGGTCCTGAAAAGGGTGTCTGAGAACCTACCCCTTCTAATCTTGTCCAACTTAAACTGTACTGTCTGCCTTGTGCCATCCTTGCTGCTTTCAGCTCTGCCCCACCCTCCTTCCAGGGTCGGTCTCTGGGTTGGAGCAGGGGGAAAGCAGGAGCAGAGTTGCAAAAGAGGCTGAGCAGGATGATACTTCAGGACCAGCTAGGTGCTTGGGCATTTATGGATGATAGTTATTTTATAATATTTGATTAATAAAAATGTTGGAAAAAGTAAAGAATGTTGTCTTGACTGTTTGTTCCTCTCTTCTGCCCAGTATTCAGGATCCAGGGATGAGGGGTTCTTTGGGGGCAAATGGCAGAGCCATTTGTGGGTAGGAGATATGAAGATGGAATGGTTGGCAGTGGAAGAGATTAGGGGCTCACTTCTCTCCATGGACTTGGGTTGAGGGTGGCCCCAGTCCTAAAAGCTAGAGAAGGAATTCCTCTCAGAGAGACAGGCTCCTCCTTCCCTGGACTGGTCCTCTGATAGGAGATGAAGGCATGTGGGCACACCTGGGGAAAGGGATGAAACATGTGTCCTGGGGCACAGATGACCAATGTCAAGGGAAATAGGCACCAAGAAACAGGTTGCCTGGCTGGAGTTGGATCCCAACACTGCCACTTATGACTGAACTCTGGGCACTCGCTTATAGTGTGTTTCCTCATGGGGATGTGAATAGTCCTCTCATAGGAGGAGGACGGGACACACGAAGTTCTTACTGGAAAGCCTGACACCGTGTGTACCTAGTAAGTGGAAGTTGAATGAAAATGAGGACATTGATATGGTGGAAGAGAAGGTTTTTATTGTAGATATGAGGGAGAGAGCAGCCAGAGGCATCTGGAAGAGTCCAGACTGAACAGGGCCAGCAGAATAGACCCAGCCATGAGAGAAGAGAGAGGGACAAGAGAGGGGACCAGGAAAGGCGAGGACCAAGAGGACAAAGAAGAACCAAGAGAGCATGTGGCAAAAATGGCGGGTTATATAGGAACCATAGCTGGGGAAAGGGAAGCAAAGCTCAAGGGCTGGAGAGGTTTAGGGTGGGAGTGGGGGTAAGAAGTGCTGAGAGGAGCCAGGACTTTGTATCAGGTACTTGCAATGGAGAGAGCCTGGCTTTGGTAGGCTAAATAGGCACCACAGTTAGCCATGTGTCTGGGGGTTTCTTTGGGATCTGACATTCCAGTCTTTTTGTTGATGATAACGAGTGATGTAATCTCTTCTGTAACTGCTTCTTAGTTAAAATTGGGGCATTGTTGTTGGGGGCCTAAGAAGGCTGGAAGTTTGGTCAAAGGCTGGGAAGAGAAGAGTGCAGGCTGGAGGACATCTGTTTTGCTTACTGCCCAGGTTCTGAGGGACCACCTGGGGCTAGTGAAGTGCAGGCTGCTTTGGAGTAGTCTAGGATTTCCAAGAAACACCTGGAGCTGGAGCGTTGCAGGCAGTTTTGGAGCGGTCTCCACTCCAGCTGATAAGAAATCTGCTGGGGCAGGTGTAGACTAGGGACAGAAGGTAAAGTTAAGGAGCTTAGGGGAAATTTTTATCTTGGGTGTACATTTGAAACTTCCAGGCCCATGGTCCTGGTAGTTGCAGTGACAGTACAGGGAGAGGTGGGGAGTTGGGGGCGGGGGAGTAGGTATCAAGACCAGGGGAGAGAGAGAAATCTTACCCTTAGGAATAGGCAGGTAGGGAAACTTTGTTTGACCTGTGAGAAGTGGACCCAAGTCTCACAACTCCCTGAAGCTTACAAGAACATTTTAAGTTTATAGATAAAAATTTTATATATATTAGCATTATCAGTCTTTGTAATCTGTACTGAAATCCACATTGTAGAAAAAGCAGCTGGCTCACACCTTCAAGTCACAATAAAAGCTTGGAAACCGCCCGCCCCCCCGCCCCCCCACCATGATGAGG